GCACCTTGCAAGTGCCAGGCACATTTCCAGGCTCAAGAGATGCAGCTGGTGAGGGCGGCTGCTGTTAACGAGTACCCCCTTGTCAGGAAACACCTGACTTCTTTCAGGAAGACAGCTGGAAAGCTAGAGGAGATTGGAAGAGACACCCTGAGACAGTCCGCAGTGCAGTTCCGTGGTCAGGACGTGGCAGCACCCTCTCAATGTCACACCACAAGGCCAACTGACTGCATCACAAGGGACTGTCGGTGTGTGTGAATGCCACCTGCACCAGCCAGTCCTGTCTGCTACAAGGACTGTAATGACACAGAGGAGGCGGGAAGGGTGGGCCATTGTGTGATTAGCTCTTACATGCAGCCCCTTAGGCGTTTGTCAGACTGGATCATCTGCTGTAGACAGTGCGGATTGGGTCCTTCATGCACATTCCGTGCAAATGGAACTACCTGTGTGCAGCGTTCATGCTTTTAGCAAAGTGTTCTCACTGCATAGCTACTTGGCTTGTCAAGACTGCAGTTCTGGGTCTGGGCCAAGACATGGGGAACAGTGAGGCAAATGAGAACACCGAGGAAACACAGCAGTGAGCAGCGAGCCACAGCCGCTGTCACCTTCATACCTGCCACGTTCCCTTCAGTGTGAGCTGACTCACCGTCCCATCCATCCTTATCATCTGTCTGGGGGTCCCGTCTCTAGGGATGTCCAGGTCTCTGCTCCATATCTGATAAAACATGCCATTGATAAGGCAGTCGTTGAACAGCTAGCATTTTCATTCTGAAGTGAAAATTAAAAATGCACAGTCCCTTTTAATTCAATTTCTAATTACTGCACTATATACAACCCAGAATGATGGCAAATTGATAAAATATGCAAATGAAGCAACAATTCATAGACTATATTAAAATTTCCATTTAAACTGTTAGTTAAGCTGTACACATTTGTAAATGTAAACATTAACCCTCAGGAAAAATATTTTCTACACTACAGCATAATTGGAAACTCCAGAATCATATATAACAGAAAGAAGATCATTACACAGAGGAGTACCCTTATCGCTATAAATAAAAGAACATTTCCACAGAGTTCTTGCTTCCTCTGAGCTGCTCCCACAGCACTTCCCCAGCTCTCCGTGGAGATATTGTTTATCCCTCCTCCATGGTAGGCAGCGGGGCCCACATCCGCCTCCCAAACCGGCAAGCCGCACCCTCAAGGGCGGCGGCGAGCTCTACCAACCCGCATCCCCTGGAGGCTCTGGCAGCCCTCAGCTCAGCTGGTTGAAATTGAACACTATGGAGTTGAACTGAACTGGATAAAATTTAATGAAATTAAATGGCACGTGATGTCTGTAGGTTTCCATTTTAGGAGCTTAGTAAAGAAGTCCAAATTCCCTCCTCTTCTACCAGGTGAAGTGCCACAGGCCAACAGGCAAGCAAGCCTGAGATCAGGAGGTGCGTGGGACGGAGCAATGCACACAGTAAGCCAGGCTGCCCGTCCACAGGTGCGCTAACCACCTTCCCACCCAGAAAGCTGTCAGAACCCCACTCTCTATGGAGAAAAGGGGCTCCTGGGCAAGCCGGCACAGCCCCTCTTGTGAGCCCTCGCAGAATCCCTTCATGTGAATGATCTCTGCTAATGTGAGGCCAAATGACACAAGATTCGGAATCGCCAACACAGCTGCTGTGACCCATTATTTTCATCAGTCTCTGCAAATAATTACATCATAATTTATGTTGAGAAAAACGTGGCTTTCATGAAAAGTATACTTAGGTCTTTTTTACCTGGCAATGAAAAACACAAAAATCTTCTATTTTTACCAATTTCGCCTAACCAGCTAGAAAGCTTAGAGGAAAACAGTGTTCAAGAGCAGCTGGTACTCCTTGACTTCCAGTTCTTGGTTAAGTATTGCCAACTCTCTTCTACTTGGTTTCTTATTTCTTTTTTTCTTCCTTTTTTTTTTTTGAGATGGAGTCTTGCTTTGTCTCCCAGGCTGGAGTGCAGTGGCACTATCTGGGCTCACTGCAACCTCCACCTCTTGGATTCAAGTGATTCTCATGCCTCAGTGTCCTGAGTAGCTAGGATTACAGGCCACCACCACATCCGGCTAATTTTTGTATTTTTAGTAGAGATGGGGTTTCACCATGTTGCCAAGGCTGGTCTTGAACTCTTGACCTCAGGTGATCTACCCACCTTAGCCTCCCAAAGTGGAATTACAGGTGTGAGTCACTGTGCCCAGACTAATTTCTTTTTGTTGTTGTTGTTTTACTATATTCTCTACTGGTATTTATTGAAAATAGCCTCTAGTTCTTTTTGAAAGTACAAAGGCAATAAATAATAAACCAAAATAGGACAAATATCAAACTATATTAAAACTACTGAGCAATGAAAGGTGGGCTAGCCATCCAAAAGCTGCCATAAATTCCACACTTTTATCCATCATGTCAAAATTCATAAACAGGTAGCAAATTATGTTGGGAAAATAAGATTACAATTTAGCATTGAAAAAAGACAAATGATTTGGAAAATAGCATTAGTGATTTTCCAAAAGACCAATGAATTAATACTATAACTAGGAACCACATTCCCATGCATTGCCAGGTACTCTTATCACCTCTGCAGAAGACCAGTCAATAAGAGGTAAAAAATTAATAAGAGGTAGGGGGAGGAAGAAGCAGTGGCCGGGCACGGTGGCTCACACCTGTAATCCAGCTCTTTGGGAAGCCGAGGCAGGTGGACCACTTGAGGTCAGGAGATTGAGACCAGCCTGGCCAACATGGTGAAACCCCATCTCTACTAAAAATACAGAAATTAGCTGGGAATGGTGAGGCACAGCTGTAGTCCCAGCTACTTGGGAGGCTGAGGCAGAAGAATGGCTTGAACCCAGGAGGTGGAGGTTGCAGTGAGAGCTGAGATTGCACCACTGCACTCCAGCTTGGCGACAGAGTGAGACTCCATCTAAGAAAGAAAAAAAAAAAAAGAAGCAGAGATAGAAACTCTCATTATATGAATATGCACTGCGTTTCAAGTGAGTTAGAGTATTCTACATAAAGTATCTATGGGATAAAATCATTATTCTTATTTTATAGATGAGACTAATTTTACCGAGGCCCAGAAATAAATAACTCAACCAATATCATAACGTTGGAAGAAGTCATAAATGATCCATCCAATGTGAAGTCCTAAGTTTTTCTCTCCAAAAGGTACTACTGTACTATTAGTAACTGCAAAATACTTTCAGATGTTCTGTGGGCTTCACATTGATTATAGCCTTTCATTCTCCCACTAACTGGAGGTAGTCGTTAGAATAGGAATCCCCCCATTTTGGAAGTGAAGAAACCGAAGCCAAGATATGTAAGTGCCAAGTTGGGTCATGTTCATGCTCTGATATTTCATGGCAGAACCACAATCCAGCTCTCTCTCTCCCAGGGCTAGGACATTGTCATGCAGCTTCCTTTGCACCATCCTGTAGACAAGCAAGGACTTGAGTCTTAAAGGCTCACCTTCAGCTGCCCATTCCAGGAGAAGGAAGAATCAAATGTGTCTGCATGCATGTTACCAAGAGTGTTTATATGTGATTTTATGCCCCTTCCCTCCATCTAGACTTAACCGCAATATTTTTAAAGTGTGGATAAGGCTTTAGGGATAAATTCAGAAATGTGTTCTGTCCCCTAGATGCAATTACAATATAGCCAGCCTGTGTGTCAAGCTCCTAAGGCTTCTGAAAATATCTTCCTCCTGACCATTTTGTAAGATAGCAGGGTCAAGAAAACAAAATTCCCCGAAAGAGGAGGTTAACTGGATGTCTGGTTGCCTCCAAGAAGCATTAAGACTCAAGCAGAAAGTTCAAGTTGATACTGAACCAGTTCAACCCTGCTATCCCCAAGCCCATGAAATCCCAGAGCTGCCCTGCCTCAACATAGACTGACATGTTTCCAAGGGCCATGACGACACATATTCGGCAGCGTAAACACCATCAGCCTTTCCTAAATCAATATTAATGGAAACCCTCAGGCAATCAATATGCAGAGGATAAGCCTTCCCCTGGGCTGCTTCAGCAATAAATGGCAGCAGGCCCCTCCCACCATCTAACACAAGACCCTCACACACTTCCTTGACACATACTAAATCTTCAAAACACATGCGTGGGACTGCCGTCTGTACATATACACATTGATTCACATAGAAAACTCTCAGCCTCCCTAACGGAAATGCACCTTGCCCACCACTCATCAAAGACTTTGGCTGAGGATTACAAATTGAGCAGGCTATTTTTGTTTCCTCTTTGATTTTTGTAGGTTTAACTGAGCTCTATCAGGTAGTTCTAATAAGTCTAATTCCAACTTGCAGAGAAGGGGTGAGAACTGGGGACTCATGATCTCCATGAAGCTAAGCAAGAAGGAAGATAAGATGCCTTCAACTAGTACAGTGCTCAGCCACCCATAGCTGCTAAAGAAATGTGTTCTTAAACAAAAAATCCCATTTTTAATTTTTGTGGATATGCAATAGATGCATTTATTTATGGGGTATATGAGAGATTTTGACACAGGCATGTGGCATTAGTCAGTTCCCACATTGCTACTAAAGACATACCTGAGACTGAGTAATTTATAAAGGAAGTGGGTTTCATAGACTCACAGTTCCACGTGGCTGGGGAAGCCTCACAATCATGATGGAAGGCAAAGGAGAAACAAAGTCACGTCATACATGGCAACAGGCCAGAGAAAGCGTGTGCACGGGAACTCCCGTTTATAAAACTACCAGATCACATGACAGCTATTCACAAACATGAGAACAGTATGGAGGAAACCGGCCCCATGATTCAGTTACCTCCACCTGACCCCCCTCCTTGACATATGGGGATTATTACAGCTCAAAGTGAGATTTGGGTGGGGACACAGCCAAACCATATCACATACAATGTACAACAGCCACATCAGGGTAAATGGGGCACCTAGAGAAATGGTTTCAGGAACAAAAGAGAAATTGAGTGACATCCTGTTCTTGCTGCTGATAGGTCTAGCTCTGTGTGGCTCCCTAGGCCTCCAGCATGAGCAGTAACTGGCTGAAAAGCCCTCCCTATTACAGACCACAACGTTGAACCCAACATCCCCCTGAGTAGGTGAGTGGTTAAAAGCAAAGGAGTCACTGGGGGTCCTTGTGTTAAGTGAAATAAGCCTGACATAGAAAAACAAATATCCCAATTTTTCACTCAAATGTGGGAGGAAAAAAAAAAAAAAAGTCGATCTCACGGAGATAGAGACTAGAATGATGGATACCAGAGGCTGGGAAGGTTGTGTGGGTAGGAGGGAGGGTGAACAGAGACCAGTCAATGGGTATAAACATACAGTTAGACAAAGGGTGTAAGTTCCAATGTTCAATTCAGTGTGGATGGCTATAGTTAACAACAATGTGTATTTCAGAGTAGCTGGAAGAAAGGACTTCAAATGTTCTCAAGACATAGGAATGATCAGTACTTGAGGTGCTGGACACCCAAAATACCTTGACTTGATCATTGAGAATTCTAGGCATGTAAAAAAATATCACATATACCCCACAAATACATAAAATATTGTGTATCAATGTTTAAAAAGCAAGGGAATCAGAAATCTCCAAGTATGAGCTGGGTGATTTTGTGTAGGCTATTTCACTTCCATTGTGCTCCAGTTTTCTAACCTGTGAATTAGGGAAACCTTGGAGCACCTCATGGGACTGTAGTGAGAATTAAACAAAATTGTGAAAATAAAAGACTTCCCACAAGTCCTGCGCAGAGAAAGGATTCAATTAACAGTAGCCACCGCTGTTTATCAGTCTGGAATGCATTCGATTCAGGAAACGTAAGTTCTTATGTTTTTCTTCTCCCTTTGAAGTAGAGGATACCAAGACACAGTGAGGAATGAGCACAACATTCATGGGGAGCTGTGGGCAGGAAGGGAGGGCTGAGAAGGGAGTGGCCAGGCCTAACTAGGTTCTTTTTGTTTTCTGTAGGTTGTACTCCCATCATTGGTCTTATAGGGAAATTTTAAGACCTCCCACTTGTAAGGTTTTAGAGCCCTCCATGGAATTTCAAAGAAAGAGTAAAATGTATCCAAGAAAAACAGAACTGGATACATTTTAAGGCTTCTTCAGGTGTTAAAATTGCCCTTTTCTAGGTCCTCTTGCTGCAGCAGTGAAATCCACAAACATGGACAAGTCAGTCAATTAGGGGCCTTTCAGAGAAAACTTCTGACTTAGGAATTCCAGCTATTTGGCCGAACCCATATTAGATGTGCTATAAAGACATCCTTCATGTCCTTCATAGGGACATGGATGAACCTGGAAACCATCATTCTCAGCAAACTGACACAAGAACAGAAAACCAAACACCACATATTCTCACTCATAGGTGGGTGTTGAACAATTAGAACACGCGGACACAGGGAGGGGAGCATCACACATTCGGTCAGTTGGGGGAGGCGGCTAGGAGAAGGACTGTGGGGGGTGGGGAGGGTGGAGAGGGATAATGAGGGCAGAAATACCACAAATAGGTGATGGGGAGATGAAGGCAGCAAACCACCTTGCCATATAGGTACCTATGCAACAATCCTGCATGATCTGCACATGTACCCCAGAACCTAAAGTGCAATTAAAAAAAAAAAGACATGGTAAATTATATTACAAAGGGAGGAGCAGAGGAAACATAATATTCCTTCAAGACCCATCAGCTTAGATTTTAGCAGAACACCCCAAAGGAGGAAAACAAGAAATTTTGAGTTTGAACTTGGGATTTCCCATCAGCCCTGGGAGTGGGGTCAGAGCCCTGGTGGGGGCAGAGACGTCTGAGGATCAGGGATGTTGAGGATCACTTTAGCGGCCACAGATGAGAACAGTGAAGGCGGCATTTGAAGCCCAAGCTCTGTCTCTCACTAGAGAGGGAGAATGGCCTCTACTTCCAGAAACCCTCACGGAAACAACAATCACAATCCACTGAGCCTGACAAGGTGAGAATTTACCTTCAGTGCCTGCAATAGTTTCCTATTAAAGTTACGTATGAAACCGTGTTGTCTTGTACGAACTAATGTTCACACCAGAGTTCCTATTTTCAAAATAAATTGCAAAACAAAAACTCTTGTTTGTGTTAGCAAACAAAAACTTCTTTCGAAGGATGAAAGCAACGTAAAAGAAGAAACAGAAAACACATGAGCCCTCCATCTAAATTACAGAAAAGAGAAAATATCCTGAATGGAATAACATACGAATCACTCTTTTTCCCCCTGAGAAAACAGGTTACTTATGAGAAACGAGCCTGAAATCTCTGCACCTGGACCAGCTTCCAGAGTTTTTTGTCCCGACCAGGTGAGAGGGGAAAAATAAAAAATAAAAATAAAAATATTAAAAAGCTGATGGTTGGCCAGTGGGTAAACAGTGACACCCAGTGGTCATTTTGATAACCAGCTGTGCATTCTCCTAATTCAGCTCTCCACGTTTTTAAAAAAATGGTCAGTAGTATACGTTTTGTTATTCAACAGATATTTACTGAATAACCAGGCAATGCTACATGTTATTCTGTTCATTTTATACCACCCTTCAAATTATGGATGTTTCCCCACCAAAACCAGCCGTCACAAAAGGAAAACTATCTGGGGCCTTGGATCCTCTTTCAAAGGCTAAAGGTGAGACCCATACAGAGGTGTCAGCAAATTGCAAAGGAGATAAAGGGCTTTTCCCAGGGTCACAACCAAACCAAGGTGCCACGTGGCGGCCAAGCACGAGTCTCCAGAGTTCTCCCAGCGCTTCCACGGGAAAGGGTTTGTACATGTGGATTTCAGGCCCCGTGGGCACTGCAAGCGTTGATCGTATTGTTAATACAACGATGCTTGTTCTTCCTGGCTTGCTTTGACTGTTCAAGATAACTTAGTTAAGCCACGTTATCTTCTACTTTTATGATGAGTAAACTGTCACTTTCATCATTTCTTTGTAAGTGTATTTGGGGAAGTAAAGGAAACGGGGAAAAAAGGGGCTGAAAAAATTGGTTTCCACCATGACCTTCGTGCGAGTTGTCAGCCTCATCGAGGATGAGTGTCCTTGATATCCAGGGAGGTCACTTTCCTCACAAGCTTGTTGTGAGGACTGAATGAAACCTTTTCTGTTTTCTTCCTTGGAGTGACAGAGCAACGCCCCTGAATGGAGCCCCACACCGGCTTAAGCCCTATCATCGCTCACTAAAAGGTGCTTTCTCCCCTGCCCTCTGCCCTCTGCCCCCCAGCTTACTCTGCGGTTGGGAGGTGGCACCAGGATCCCCTCTAAGACTTTCCCACTTGGGCCAGCTGTGCCTCTGTGAAATTCCCTGTTTCTATTGCAGGCCACAAGGACAAGCTGAGAAATGCCTTCCAGTCACCATCGAGATTAGAAAGCCTATATTTCAAATACAGAGATAGCAACTATGCCTGTGAAAAGACATTAAATCCCACGGGGCTGTGGTTCCTACACTCTACGTATTTTTCATCTTGCACCAAACTGTATTATTTCATTTGTTATTCAGATTCTTCAAATTTAAGAGTAAGTGCCTGGCTCAAAATTATAATACCTACAACTCTTCCAAAACTGGACTCTTTAATTGCCTCACTGGAACCAGTAACTGATTCAAAGCAAAACGAAACGAAATTCCTCCTTTCTCTGATTTAGGGAATCAGTGACCTAACTGAACCCATTTCTGGACTGAGTGTGTGGCACTTGCAGCCCTGGGGGGCACTTGCAGCCCTGGGGATGCATTCCGCACCACCCTGAGTCTGTCAACGCAAATGAACACTGTGTTTATTCACATTGGGGGTGAAGGGGGTCACAAAAGGGTTAATATGTGCAGCATTTCATTGTAATATGTACTCATTACTAACTAAATTAAAAGAGATGTGATTTATCAAAAACTCTATCTTAACAATGTTAAGTAACAGGAATCAGAGTTCAGACCCATTGTTACTGAGTTTCGGCCAACACCTGTGAGTCAGACCTGAACACGGCCACCCTGAAAACAGTTCATGTTTTCAAAAGCAATTCTTCATCTAAGATGAGCTGCACTAAAGATTCAGATTACATCTCATGCTGCAATACAAAAATCAAATAAGGCCTTTCCATGTTCAATCATAACGTTGGAAGAAAAGGAATATTTGTTTAGCCCGTTAGCCAGAAATTGGTGTATCAGAATAGATCATTCTTTGAGCATTTTATAAAATCATGGTATTTCTCCTTTGTGAGAGAGATTTCTCCTATTTTTCTTTGTAAGCCCTCAAAAAAATATAGAGAATATTCCTGAAGTTACAGTGTTTATCTTCCGGAAGAAACAATGGTATTCAAGGAAATCTACAAATTTGTTTATTGAGCTTCCACAACAAACACTGCGTGAGGAGGCCGGGCGCTCAGAAGTCCAGAAACTAAAACGATTATTATTTCGATAATAATATCTTACGTCTGCCCAACATCTGAACCCAGTTCTTTGCTGAGGCTCATCTCATTCCTCAAGCAGCCTCTGAGATAGGCGGCGGGATAATACTGGCTCCATTTTACAGTAAGAAAACAGAGGCTCGTGGAGTCATAGGGCTGAGCGGGGAACGTCCAGCCTTTTCTCTGGGTTCTGAAGAGCATAGTCATGAAGGCTGTAAGCCATTCCACATTCCGGTTAAAATGAAACAGATAACCGGTCCTAAATGCATGTCCCAGCCCTGCCCTGAGGGCCCGGTGGGCTCCCTGTGGCCTGCAGAGCTGACCACGTGGGAGTGAAGCAAGCTAGGGAGGCTCCCTGGGGAGCTGGTGCAGAGCCTGGAGGACGAGGCAGATGTGGGGGACACGGAGGAGACAAGGAAGTCAAAGCGGGAGGCAGGATTTCCTGTGATGCTGGACACTGGCAGATGGGGAGAGCCTGTGGTGCCGCAGGGTGGCACAGAAGTCCTGGAAGGTCGCCTGCTCTACAGCAGCTCGAGGGAGCAAGAGGACCCTGTGGCTGGCAGGGCCAGAAGAAACCTAAGAGGACTGGGAGCCGTCACCTGCACCCGAATTCAGGTTGCAGGCTTCCTTTCTCCAATTCCGGTGAAACTGAGGCTTCACCATGAGAGATGCTTCCCCAGCCCTCAGGGTGCCCTCCTCAGGGTTCCATGGAAACCTAACTCACTCTCGATTCATTCAGGGTTTGCATTAATTTCAACCTGCTCAAGATATTAAAACACTAGAGCAGGAAGATGTGTGGAGGACAACTTTCAAATCTCATGCTGCCGAGGCTCCCTGCTAGCTTGGCCATATTTAATCAAAAGCACGCAGTTGCCTGCTTTCAACGTCTTTAGCCCAAGCCTCTGCCTAGCAGCCCTAAGCCTGGGTGGATGGACCTCAGCCAGTCAGACCACGCTGAAAAATCCAGCCCTGAACGCTGAGGACACGCCTAGTGTCACCTGCAGCTGAATGCAGCCGTGTAATGTGTGCTGGGTGATTCTCTGTCATGCATGGAAAGTGAGACGAGGATCTCTTTTTATGCCTTCCCTGACAGTTTTCAAATCTAATTGACAAAGAGCTCACAGAAGTCCAGCAAAAATGCTGCCCTAGTCAGTGGGTGAAAATATATTGTTTAATGTAAGAACAATCAAAAACTATGCAAGGAAATGAAGGAGAATGAGCTGGAGTAACCTCGATTTAAGAAAACAGCAACACACTGTATATTTTTAAAAATATGTAGTAGCAGAGACAAAGTGAGGGGAGAAGGAACAGATGGATGAGACCATCAGATTTCACTTTCCAGGACAGAAATTCATTAGTAATTCAGCTCTTTAATTATGAATGGATCTATTTAATTCTCCAAGTTTACTACTGATTTCCTGAATAGTATGCTTCTGAGTTGAACATATTCATCAGCCCTTTCCGGTACCTTGCGGAAGAGCGGAACAAATGACCCCTCATGCAGGTGAGCACAGGCATGGGGTTACCCACCTGTGACCATCTCCCCAGAAAGGCTGGATGACAAAAATGTTCACAATTTTTAATGAATGTGCACAGCTCTTGGGTAGGACATTTTTAAATGATTAACACTCAAATTTTAAAATTATCATGAATTATTGTCCCAAAGATTAAGAAT